TGCAGTGGCACGCCCACAGCCACCCCAGCATCAACCCACTGGGCTCAGGCAATCCTTCTGCCTCAGCCTTCCAAGAAGCCAGAATTACAGGCGTGCGTTACCACACCCAGCTAATTTTTTGATATATTGTACAGACGAGGTCTCACCAAGTTGCCTAGGCTGGTCTCGAACCCCTGGACTCAGGCAATCCTCTCACCTCGGCCTCCCAAAGTGCTGGGATTACAGGCTTGAGCCACCATGCCCAGCCGACATGGGCTTCTGTATTCGGGAACTGACTTACAGGGAAGGTGGTCCAAGAGTTGCTGGCTGGACAAGATAAAAATGCTCCCAATTCTAAAAGACACGCGGGTTCTATAACAGTTTCTGTAGGGCAGAGTACGGGGTTAAGTATGAAAAGGGAAGGTTTCTAGTGTGCAGGCACAGAGTGAGAAGATACTTATACATGCATCACAGGCGCACAGAATGGCTGTGAATGGTCTCTAGGTATGAGATTTTTAGTATTATAGCAAACTAATGGTGAACTAAAACTAACCAAATGTTATGGGCCCTAATCCAGGCATGCCCAATCTGGTCTCATCCAGCCAGCACTTAAGAACGTGTACATGAGAACATTCACTATGCGCTGCTGTAAGATGTGGTTGGTAGGCATGGAGGATGTCATGTTCATGGCCTCAGCATGATCTGTGTGCACAGGCCAGAGTCTGAGGGGAAGGGGACATCTCGGATTGGCCACCACCCCCAGGTACCTATCCTCTGCTTGAGGCCATATCCAGGGTGTGCTTATGTTGTCAGTGAGTGCGTGTTGACCCACACCTTCCCACTAAGTATTTCTGAGGGTGTCTCACAGAAGTTCAAGGAGAGTCCACACATGCTCATCCACACACACCCTCTTTCCGTCCACAGCGCTTGAGCCACCATGCCCAGCCGACATGGGCCTCTGCAGCCCCAAAGTGACTCCAGCCTCAAGGTCCATGCTGAGTCTCATCTCCTCATGTGCTGGTGTCAGAGTGTTCTATGCTCTGAAGTTTTCACTGAGCTGAAGTCACAGCATGTTCTGGGAAATGGAGAGGACATCCCCCGTTTGTCTTGTGTTTGTCTTGTCTGTCTGGCATGGTGCCTCACGGAAGTGCCTTCTTTAGTTTGTGCCTTGTGTTAAGAGAGAAACCTGAGACAAATTAAATTTAACAGTTTAATTGAGCAAAGAATGAGTCACAAATCAGGCAACCTTCTGAAACCAGAGAGATTTCCGGCACAGCCATGTAGTGGAAGAAGATTGATGGGCAGAAAAAGGAAACTGATGTACAGAAAATGGAAGCGAGAGACAGAAACAGCCTGATTGGTTACAGCTCAGCCTTTGCCTTATTCGAACCCGGTTTAAACAGTTGGCTGCCTGTGATTGGCTAAAACTAGGTGATTGGCACAAAAGTAGGTTCCAACCTTTTTACACATCCAGTTAGGTGACAGTTCACTATGTGACAAGAAACCTTTAGGCAGAACTTAAAATATGTAAGGAGGCAGTTTTAGGCTAAACAAAACTTAACACTTGTGACTTTCTGTCCTAAGGCTTCAAACGCTAGTCCCTGGGGCTAAGCTGTGAGGCAGACACTAGCGTTCCCTGGATCCCAGCCTTTTTCCTCGGTTACCAATAAGGTATTCTCCAGATATAGACCCTTTCCCCCTCTATCTGGCTTCTTTCTTCCCCCTCCCTCAGGGAGCAGGCCCTGGCCAAGGCTGGTCTCTGAAGGACATGCATATTTCCAGTAATGAGTCATAGGGTACAGGTGATGGAGCAATGCTGAGAACAATGTAGGTGTGTAAACAATTTGAATAGTTAACTTGCTTGATTATTAAAAAAATCACTTGCGGTACTGTCCCGAGGCACAGATTTCTTCACTGACTGGCCTCCATCGGTGCCTCCTATAGGTTTAGTAAACCAAAGTCTTTTTCCCTGCTGGACCTCTGGGTGACTTCTTTGGAATAGGTAAGGGTTACACGCAAGCTCTCAGATTCGGGGGGCTACCATGTTATAGTACCCAAACCTGCAGGTGACCCTACGCAAATACGTCCTTTGGGAAGTTCATTCCACCAGTTTACCAAAAACTCTTCACCCAGACTTCCGGGTGAGGCTTAATCAGGATGTCTAGTTACTGATTCAGCAATAGGGAAGCCAGGATTGGTGTTGGCCACAGGAGTTCAGCAGAAGGGTTGATCAGGAAGTCAGATGAGGAAAGATGCATCAAGATGAGGAAAGAATGGGAGGTGAGTAAAGTACAGGCGGAGAACACAGCAGCAAGCACAGAGGCAGGAAGTGGAAGATGGTGGTGGTAGCTTTTAACAAGGCGGAAATTGAACATAGTCACATGCTGAGGAAAAGGAGGGTGCAGGAACAGAGACGCTAACAGCAGACTCACGAAGAGAAAGGATCTGAGGGAAGAGCCAGGTCCAAGTCATGCTGATGAACCACCTTGAAGCTCACCTCATGCAACAGCTCTGAGAGCCCTGGAGAGACCCTGGGCCCGGCAGGGGGAGGCATCTGGAGGGGCTGGCCACAGGGGTCTGAGATGAAGGAAGAAAGAGAAGAGAGGAGGCCCAGACTCTGCTGTGGAGCTCGTTCTGGAGGGGAGTAGATGTAGGGGCTGGTGAATCCAGAGCCCTGCCTCCACAGGTTGCCTCCAGTTTCCCAGCACTGCTGCATCCCTTTGTTGAGGAGACAACTCACTGAGATCTCTCTCTGTGACTCAGGATGGGGCTTTCTCATGTTGTCATTTTAATTTTAGTAACAGAGTCACCGTAAAAAGCTGCTTCTGGGTGTCAGTTTTCTTCCCTTCTCTCTGTCACATTATGCTTGAGATTCTACTGTCGTGACAACGGCAGTGTCCAACTCTGACCCCAGCCCCACTTCTCTGAAGATACTCTGGTTTCAGTGTAAAACTTCCTGGCGGAGTGAAAGGACATAACATGGATTTAATATACCCAATGAGCAGCCATTTTAACATTGCCTAAATCTCATGTTTTTCTAGCAGTTCACTTACCCTCTAATCACTAGCCAAGGGCAGATCCAGTTTCTCAGAGGTAGTTATTGATAATTGCTTTACAGTCCCACCCCCTCCCCAGCTTGTTACTAATTAACTTTTCTAGACCAAGTATTTGCCTTCACCCATAAGACCCAATTTAACCTAATCAACCCTTCGTGTCCCACGTGACACAGACCCCCCACTACCACCATGGCAGCAATCATGTGACTAACCCACCCATCTGTCTGCTGTCCATCACCTGACATCAGTACCTGTGCTTACCTGTCCCTTTGTGATGATGTGGAGTAGGCCACTACCCAATCACCTTAACGACCTTCCCCCATCAAAGGGGAAGAATTAAAAGGACTCAACCAGGAGCAGCCAGCCACCACTGCCTACCATGTTTCCTGGCTTTGGCCTCTCTCCTACCTTAGGGAGGTGACTCTCCTCTTTAATTTACTTTCTAAATAAACTATATTTTCTAATCTAACTTCTGCGCAATTCTTTGCATCTTTCTCGGTGCACCAGATCCCACCCCAGACACACCCCTACCCCCCAGGCAGGTCTAACCTAACATTCTGGAGGCCCCGCTGGGAGTGTGACCTAACACAGAGGATGATTCATTTTTCCCCCCCGATTTGTTTATTCAACTTACCACATGAAGGAAGGGGTCAGAACTAGTCCCAGGAGTAGAAGACTGCCCTGGCCAGCAGGGAGAATGGGCACCCGGAGTAAGAGCAGAAGAATTTCTAGTCCTCTAGCCCCTGCCTTGTGTCTTAAACACTGGAGAGTGTTGTGGTGTCTGAGTTATTTCATGACTTCCACTCAAATAGTGAAACAGAGGGCTAAAAACAAGGATCAGATGGAGAACGAGATTCTCACTGAAACTATAGTTTAAAATATAGGACTTTGCTTCTACACTAAATTGCTGTCCAGGGGTCACCAACACAAATGCCTATGGGGTGAAGCCAGTGTCCCAAAGGCAAGGGCCTGTGGGGGGGGACCCTGTGGCACATTAGTGCCACTGTCTGTCCTGACCAAAGGGGACCACAGTTACTCAGCCCCAGATCCCATGACAAAGAATACAAACTCTTGGATTGTCTGATCTGACTTTTCAGAGAAGTTGCAAGTCCAGATGCTTTTGTGAACTCTACAGATTTTTAAATACTGAGAATGAATGCCATTAACTTACAATCAAAACCAAAAACACGCACTACGCAGGCCAAGCAAAACACCCTGGGAGTAACTCCAGGAGGGGTGCAAAATCACAATTTATTTTATTTTTCTCTTCTTTTTTCTTTTTTTGAACAAAGTCTCACTCTGTTGTTCAGGCTGGAGGGCAGTGGCATGATCACAACTCATTACAGCCTCGACCTCCTGGGCTCGACCTCCTGGCCTCAGCCTCCTGAGTAGCTGGGACTGCAAGCATGCGCCACCACACCCGGCTAATTTTTTATTTTTTATGAAGAGACAGGGTCTCCTTATGTTGCCCAGATTGGTCTCAAACTCCTGGGTTCAAGCGATCCTCCCATCTTGGCCTCCCAAATTGCTGGGTTTACAGACATGAACCACCACAACTGACTGGCTGCAGAGTCACAATTTCAATTTCACTTCCTCTAGAGAGATTTCTGTTTCTGTTTCTGGAGCGATTCTGTATCTCTAAGTGGAGAAAAAACAAGAGAGTTTGCTCTAAGGGGTCACAGGCTCCTTATCCCCCCCCACCTGAGGCTGTTTGGGAACTTTTCTGTTTCCCTAAAGGGTGACTTCATTCTGATCCTTATCAAAGGGCAGGCACTCCTGGCAACAAAGACTCCCTGGCCCTAACTACTAAGGACTAAACAGCAAGCATGCATTCCTAAGCATCACTAACTATTGAAATATACCAGACTGAACCACCTTGGGAGCTGTCCCTTTAAGACTGGAGCATGCTACCAGGGAAACTCCTCCTCCAGGGAGGTTCCTTATTAAATGGGAGCCAGCTGGCTGGGCCGCGGTTCAACACCCCCAAGCAATACCTGCGTTTCAGGGTTCCTCCCTGGGAGACTGCAGCCTGTCAGCATGGCTCAAGAGTTTGTCAACTGCAAAATCCAGCCTGGGAAGGTGGTTGTGTTCATCAAGCCCACCTGCCCCTACTGCAGGAGGACCCAGGAGATCCTCAGTGAGTTGCCCATCAAACAAGGGCTTCTGGAATTTGTTGATATCACAACCACCAACAACATGAACGAGATTCAAGATTATTTGCAGCAGCTCACGGGAGCAAGGACGGTGAGTGCGGGGTTTCATTTTAAAAGGCAAAGACAAGGCTCCCGGGTTGCTTTTTCTTGGCAGGGCTGTGCCTTTTCTCTAGGACACCGCCCGGCGGCGACTCTGTCCTTCAAGGCGTCCAGAGGGCTTTGCGGGGCGTGGGGGAGGGTGTCTGAGAGAAGACACTGGTCACTTGAATGGGCGGCTGGACTGCCGCCACCAGTCCTCTCAGAGATGAGGAGCGAGCAAGCTGATGATGTGTGCAGTGCCAGGGTCGGTGGGCCCGGAGGCTTGTCTGGGAGTCCCCAAGGAGGAGGGATTTTGAGTCTTTGTTTTAAGAACTGCTGTGAAATGACAGATTTCAATTGGCAGTGCTGGGGGTGGAGAACCGGGTATGACTGGTGCACTTCTGTTATTTACCGCGAAAAGCATGTGCCTTCTTTCTTGTATTTTTCAGGGGCCAAGTGGGATTCGCTGCCCTTCAGTCTTTTCTCTAGGCTTTTTTTTTTTAAACCATAAGCTAATTTGCTCTTTCTTTTTTCATTATCTCACCACTCCCACTGGAAAAACCGAATACACCATTATCTAAATTAATTTCAAGTGTTTCCAGGCCCGTCATAGGCCAGAATTCTGGCCTGGCTGTCACAACGGCTTGCCGTGTGATCCTGGACAAAGCACCACCCCTGTGATCCTTAAAGATCCCAGCTCCAAGAACAGATTAAAGGAAGTGATTTCCAAGTCTCCCTAGCGACAGTTATTCTGTGAGACCCTCTAAGAACTGCTCTCGTCCATCTGAAAAGACTTCCCAGTCTTCACGTCCTGGACTCTATGAGGGATACCAACCAGATCACCTGTATCAGTGTTGGTGCTGGGTGGGGTGAGGAATGCCCCACCAGCTCACCCAAGGTCCCTTTCAGGATGCACATTCTAGAACAGTAGCACACATCCTTTTTCAGTTTTAGTTCGACTTACGAGGTTTTGTCTGGGTTCTGAGTATGAAGTGTGGGAGGCCGTTTCTCTCTTTCGTTCTATAAGAAACCAGCATTTTGGTGCAGAGGAGAGCTAAATTGCTGTGAGCTGAAGTCCTGAAGCAAATGCAATGGTGGGAGACCAGTCGCACAGGACACCCAGGCCCTGAGAGGGAAAGGGCGGGGCAGATCCTACCATGGGCCCCATGATGGCTTCCACCCTGGGACCCTCTTAGCAATAAGGGAATGTGTTGCCAGTAGAACGGCCTTGCTAGAGGCCAGTGGGTCCCAAACTTTGCTGCACCTTAGAATCAACTGGGGGAACTTTTTAAACAATCCTTATGCCCAAGATATACCCCATACCAACTAAATCACCATAGTGGAGGTGATAACCAGGCCTCCGTAGTCAGAAGAAGCCCCAGGTGATTCCATCACGCAACAAAGTCTGGAAATGAGTGTTCTCAGCCCACCAGCACCTGTCCTCTGGCAGGTGAAGCAAACCTTCAAATGCATTCATTCAACAGTTTCCCCCCTACTTCATTTAAAGCAATGATGTCTTATAATGCTCTTTTAAGTTTGTTTTTAATTTTTTTTTTTTTGAATCAGAATGATACTCAAAAAGACTCTGTCGCCCAGGCTGGAGTGCAGTGGCACGCTCACAGTCACTGCAGCCTCGACCTGCTGGGCTCAGGTGATCCTTCCACCTCAGCCTTCTAGGTAGCTGGAACTACAGGCATGCGCCTCTATTTCCTGTTTGGTCCCCACAGGTCCCCACACGTCCTGTGCCACCTTTAGGGGCACCATTCACTAGTGTGAGTTCAGGTAGTTCTGTTATTTCTCAGACTAGACAGTGGGCATGAGGGCAAAGGGGACTTTCAGCTCTTTGGCAAATCAGCTTCTTTGCCAGATGGGCTGCACAAAACTCCAGCCTAGGAGACAGACCCATCGCATTTCAGGGCCTGCCTCAGGAGACTGGGGGCAGCAATAGGGTCATGGGTTTTCCTTTTAAGAGATGGGGGCCTCACTATGTTGTCCAGGCTGATCTCAAACTTCTGGGCTCAAGAAATCCTCCTTCCTTGGCTTCTCAAATTACTGAGATTACAGGTGTGAGCCAATGCACCCATACCCGGCTAATTTTTTTGTTGATTTATTGTAGAGATGAGGTCTCACCAAGTTGCCCGGGCTGGTCTCAAACCCATGGGCTCAGGCAATCCTCTCACCTCCTCCTGTCAAAGTGCTGGGATTATAGGCATAAGCCACCCCACCTGGCCTTGTTTTTAAATTAAAAAAAAAATATTTCTTACAGGGTTAGGCATGGTGGCTCACACCTATAATCCCAGCACTTTGGGAGGCCAAGGTAAGAGGATTGCTTGAGCCTAGGAGTTTGAGACCAGCCTAGGCAACATAGTAAGACCTTGTCTCTACAAAAATAAAAAATAAAAAATAATTAGCTGGGCATGGTGGTATGCTCCTGTAGTCCCAGCTACTCAGGAGGCTGAGGCAGAAGGACCACCTGAGACCTAGTGGTCAAGGCTGTGGAGAGCTATCATCATGCCACTGCACTCCAGTCTCTCCAGAGAGAGACCCTTATTCAAAAATAATAATAATAATTCACAGATTCTTGAGTCTTGAACTCATTCCTCCCAGAGCAAGAACACATCTTTTCAAGTTGTATGCTTTGTGATCCTCAACAGGGAAGGGTTTATACTCAGAGATGGAACACTTGAGAGCAGTTGCTGTCATAATTATCCTCTGATGACCTATGACACCATATATGTCGTGGGAGACAAGCAGGACTTGATTGACTGATGACAGAAACGTCTTCAGTCACGTGGAGAAGACTGCTTTGGTTTTGCTACAGCCCAGCTCCTAGGTTCGTGCCTGCGCTAATTTCTTCTTCTTTTTTATTTTTTTTAGTAAGAGTCTCACTCTGTCACCCAGGCTGGAGTACAGTGGGCACGCTCATGGCCACTGCAGCCTCGACCTGTTGGGCTCAGGCGATCCTTCCACCTCAGCCTTCCATGTAGCTGGAACCACAGGTGTGGGCCACCATGCCCGGCTAATTTTTTTGATTTATTGTAGAGACGAAGTGTCGCCAAGTTGCCCGGGCTGGTCTCAAACCCCTGGACTCAGGCAATCCTCTTGCCTCCGCCTTCCAAAATGCTGGGTAATGCACTTCCTTTATGGAGATCTGAGTTTCTGACTCATATTATTTTCCTTCTCCCTGAAGAACATCTCTGAGCAGTTGTAGCAAGGCAGTCCTACTGGCAACACATTTCCTCCACTTTTTGTTAGAGAAAGTATTTCTCCTTCACATTTGAAGGATGGTTTTGCTGGCTATGACAATTTTTTTTTAAGTAGCTGCTATGAACCAGGCACTTCTCTAGACAATGGGAGCATAGCCATGGAAAAAAACAAAACCTCCTGCCTTAGTCAAACCAACATTCTAATGGGAAAAAAAATAGTAAATTTAAACGGAGTGTTGGGAGGTGGTGAGTAGCATGTGCTATGGAGAAAAATTGAGTGGGAAAGGGAAACGGAGTAGGTAGCTGGGTACAATTTCAAATAGAGCCATCGGAGGCTCACTGACTAGGGAACATTTGAGTAGATCTCTACAGGAGGTAAGTGAGAAAGACACACAGAAATTTAGAGGTAGAAAATTCCAGGCAGTGGGAGCAGCAGATGCAAACGACCTGTGGCAGAAGTGTGCCAGGTGGGTTCATGGAATAACAAGGAGGCTGGAATGGCTGGAGCATTGTGAACAGTAGGAGAGTGAGAGGAGGTGAGATCTCCAAGACATTGGGATATGGGTCAGGAAGGCCTTTCAGGCTGTCCAAGGACTGTGACTTGTAACCCATGTGAGATTAAAGGCCACTGAGGGGTTTTGAGCAGAGGCGTGACTCGACCTGACTCAGTTTGGAAAGTGTCACTCTGGCAGCTGTGGGGAGAAAAAACTGTAGACGGTCCAGGGTGGCGGTTGAGGCTGGGTGACATTTGGAGGAAACAGCAGTAATTCTGGTGAAAAATGATGGTCGCTTGCCCCAGGGTGTCAGCCAAGGAAGCGGTGAAAAGTGTTGAAACAGCGTTGACTGGTTGCGTTTCAGTGACTAAACCCACCCCAGGAGAGGCAGGGCCACATGTTAGCAAACTCATTGGGGGTGGCAGTTCTCTTTCCTCTCCTTTCTGGGAACAGACTCAAGTTCCTCCTAGGAGGGGGATGGGGCCTGAGGGGAGGCAGCTGAGGGTGTTTCCTGTCTATCCTCAGCTGAATCAACAATGCCTCTATTTCTTGTTTGGTCACCACAGGCCCCCACACATCCTGTGCCGCCTTCAGGGGCACTGTTCACTAGTGTGAGTTCAGGTAGTTCTGTTGTTTCTCATACTAAACGGTGGGTGTGAGGGCACAGGGGCCTTTCAGCTCTTTGGCAAATCAGCTTCTTTGCCAGATGGGCTGCACAAAACTCCAGCCTAAGGGACAGACCCATCACATTTCAGGGCCTGTCTCAGGAGGCTGGGGGCAGCAGGAGGGCCATGGGTTTTCCTTTTAAGAGATGGGGTCTCACTATGTTGTCCAGGCTGATCTCAAACTTCTGGACTCAAGCAATCCTCCTGCCTCGGCTTCCCAAATTATTGAGATTACAGGCGTGAGCCATTGTACCCAACCTGGCTGTGGCCTTTCCAAAGCCTCAGTTACTTAGGGAGGAATAAATGATGGCTCAACCAGTGATGTGCATGCGTGATCCCTGGAGTAGCAGCAGCACCTGTAAGCGATGCAAATTCTTGGGCCCCGACCCAGATGTCCTGAATCAGGAATTGGGGATGGGAGGAAAGGAGAAAGCTGTGTCTTAAGCCCTTTCATGATTCCCATGCACATTCAAGTTGGAGGATAGGACTCCCTTGCTCCTTGGGGCCAACTAAGAACTCAGACCCTGGGGCTAACGCCGTGGTCAAAGATGGAGATGTGGCAGGCCACAGGAAGAATGACAATTACTTAGTTCATTTCGAAAATACAGATGTTCAAGATGAGGCTGGCCATGGTGGTTAATCCCAAAATTTTGGGAGGCTGAAATGGGAGGATGATTTGAACCCAGGAGTTCCAGCCAGCCTGGGCAACATAGTGATACCTCACCTCTACAAAAAAATTAAAAAATTAGCCGAGTGTGGTGGCGTGTACCTGAACTCCCCCAAATTAAAAATAAAATAGTGAATCAATCTCTCTCTTGTTTGAAGTTCAGCGATTTTTACCGAACAAGGCAGCCCCTCAGCAGAAGGAGCAGTGTGGTAGAATTATGTGGGAATCACACGAGGGTTCTGCCCTGTTGACTGTATGCGTGAGCATGGCCAAGTGTTACTGGGGCTATGGCAGCCAAAAGATCTCAACAATTTGGGTAAGGGAAGCCTAGTTTTTGCTACAATAAAGGCCAGGATACAAAGGATGTAAGTTTCTCACCCATCTTCTCTGCAGCTGATCTTGCAGTTGACAAAAACAAAGTAGCGTTGGTGACATTTCCCCTTGCCACGCCTCCTGCTCGTGGTTCCTGTGATATCTTCTGTGACTTATGGGTCATCTGGCTACACAGAGGCCTGCACATCTTTTCTCACTCTAAGGGCATACAAAATAGCTGTGAAAATGTGGTGCAAGATTGCTTTTAAAATTTTTGCTTTTTTTTAAAGTTTTTTTTTTGAGTCAAGGTCTTACTCTGTCACCCAGGCTGGAGTACAGTGGCATAACCACTCACTGAAGCCTTGGACCCCTGGGCTCAGGGGATCCTCCCACCTCAACCTCCTGAGTAGCTGGGGCTGTGAGCACATGCCACCATGCCTGGCTAATTTTTCTATTTTTTTTTTTTTTATAGACAGGTCTCACTTTGTTGTCAGGCTGGTCTCGAACTCCTGACCTCAAGCGATCCTCCCACTTTGGCCTCCCAGAGTGCTGGGATTATAGGCAGGAGGCACCACACTCAATCTATACCTTTTTCTTAATAAAATACTTAATAAAAACACTTTAAGGCCGGGCTCGGTGGCTCAGCCTATAGTCCCGTGCCTTTGGGAGGCTGAGGTGAGTGGATTGCCTGAGCCCGCAGGTTCGAGACCCGCCTGGGCAACTTGGCGAGACCTCATCTCTACAATAAATCAAAAATTAGCCAGGCGTGGTAGCACGTACCTGTAGTTTCAGCTACTTGGAAGGCTGAGGCGGAAGGATTGCCGGAGCCCAGCAGGTCGAGGCTGCGGTAGCTGGGAGCGGCCTCTGCACTCCAGTCTGGGCGACGGAGTGAGACTCCAACTCAAAAAGAAAAAACCAAAGAAACAAAAATACTTTAAGAACTTATCCACAATAATTCAGCCCTTTTTCTCACTTTCTAAGCAATTTACTTGAATTATTATGCCTCTAAAGAAAACCTAAAGCTTTGAAAAATATTCTCATTGCTATCTGCCTTCCACCTCTCCCTTTCCTTTTGGTACCTTCTTAGTGTTTGGGGAGAGGGCCTACTTGCTGTGATCACTTGGGTGTCCTACATGGTGCTTGTTTCTTCACTGCCCTTCAACCTCTGTGTGACACCCTTGGCCTGGAAATTGTCTGATCCACAGTGAAGAGGCTTCCTCCTCCTCCCTCAGAATTCTTTCCTTTTTTTGAATTGGGCTCTCACTCTGTCTCCCAGGCTGGTGCGCAGTGGCACAATCACGGTTTACCACGGCCTCGACTTCCTGGGCTCAGGTGATCCTCCTGCCTCAGCCTCAGGAGTAGCTGGGACTACAGGCACAGGCCACCACACCCAGCTAATTTTTTTTTTTTTTTTTTGTGGTTGTTGTTGAGACCAATTCTCACTGTGTCGTCTAGACTGGTTTCGAACTCCTACGTTCAAGCGATCCTCCCACCTCGGTCTCTCAAAATGCTGGGATTACAGACATGAGCCACCACTTCTGGCCCTTCCTCAGGATTCTAAGAGCCCTCTGGAATTCTGGAATGTGCCTGTCCCCCCAGCAGCAGGGTGGGAGAGTGTGACTGGAGAAGAGCCCGTTCAGCAGGCGTAATGACTGGCAGTTTGGTTTGCCCTGGGTGGCCCACCCACGGTGAGTGTGAAGCTGAGATGGGTGATGCCCTTGGTCCCAGAGCTGTGGTGCTTAAACATCTTACAGTAGACCAGTGATGAAGGGAAACCTGGACACAGCCCTCTCCCCTAGGGAAGGATAGGGCTCATCTGTGATTTAACATCAGCAAGAGATGATTCTTTTAATAAACCACAGACCCATAAGTCAAGGACATAGACCCAGTGCAAAAACTTTTCCAGCTATGTTTAGAAACAAATTCCTTCCTGATTGCTGTGACCCAGACTTCAGTCTCAGGTGTGGTCCCAGCTTCAGAGAAATCAGAATTCAGTCAGGGTGGTCTGACTGCAACCAATCCAAATTCCTTCCTTGAAACGTGTTGCTGTGGAGTGAAAATTTTAAATCCCTTTGGCAAGTCAGATGATTCATGCACAGCACACTTAATTTGAAAAATATCCTGCATAAGGCTGAGTGTGGTGGCTCACGCTTGTAATCCCAGCACTTTGGGAGGCTGAGGTAGGAGGATTGCTTGAGCCCAGAAGTTTGAGATCAGCCTGGGCAACATCGCAAGACCCTATCTTTACAAAAATAAAAATAATTGGCCAAGCATGATGGCATATGCCTGTAGTCCCAGTTACTCGGGAGGCTGAGACAGGAGGATGGCCAGAGCCCAGGAGATTGAGGCTGCAGTGAGCCATGATCATGCTACTACATTCTAGCCTGGATGACAGAGTGAGACTCTAACTCAAAAAAAAAATATTCTGCTTAAAAATATTCTGTAATTAATAATGTTACCCCTATGATAGTGAGAAAATTCTGTCCTGTAAGAACATTCATGAGGAGGTTGATACGTGATTTGAAAAGCTTGAATCTGGCTGGGTGCAGTGGCTCATGCCTGTAATCCCAGTACTTTGGGAGGCCAAGGTGAGAGGATCGATCACTTGAGCCCAGGAGTTCAAGACCAGCCTGAGCAACATAGCAAGACATCATCTCTACCAAAATAAATAAATAAATAGATCGATTAAAAAAAATTAGCTGATGTGTACTCACGTGTAGTCCCAGCTACTACAGAGGCTGAGGTGGGAGGATCACCTTGAGCCTGAGAGGTCGAGACTGTGGTGAGCTGTGATAGTGCCACTGTACTCCAGCTTGGGCAAAAGAGTGAGACCTTGACTCAAAAGAAAGAAAAGAAAAAAGAAAAGCTTGGAATCATGGGACATATTAAGAGGAAGGATAGAAACATCATCCTTTCTAATCAACCGCTAATGAAGTTCCGTGAATGTCCTGGGCTGTTTGCTGTTTCAGGTGCCTCGAGTCTTCATCGGTAAAGATTGCATAGGCGGCTGCACTGACCTTGTGAACATGCAGCAGAGCGGGGAGCTGCTGACACGGCTGAAGCAGATCGGAGCACTGCAGTAATCACAGGTGTGGGACCGTGGGATGTGGGGTGGGAGCACAGAGAGACAGCAGAACTCTACTGTCATAGTTCATTCCACTGCAGGACGGCATCCTGGCTGGGGACAGAATGATCTGGGGGAGCTGAGGAACTGTGACATCAATCACTTGTGAATTTCACACTTTACAAAAGGATTAATTGTGCCAATGGGAGAAATCCTTCCCTCCACCTTCATTGAACAAGTATTTATTGAGCATGTGTCAGATGCTTTTCTAGACACGGGGAGGGGATATAGTGGCACACCAAAAGATAGCGTGGAACTTATATTCTAGGGAGGTAGAGAGTTCAAAAAGCAAGCAAGCAAATAATTCCTGAAACAAGTAAATCAAATAATGTGGTAGAACATGGCGGGAGGCGGGGAACAAACTAACTAACATGAAAAGGAGGCCCTTTCTCAGGAGGGGCTGGTTGAGCTGAGATCTGGTTGACACAGAAACAGCTACATGTAAAGATGAAGTAGATGAACTTTCCAGGCAGAGGGGAAAGCAAGTGCAAAGGCTCTGAGGTGGCCACGAGTCAGAGAGGTTTCAGGAACAGAAAGAAAGCAAGAACAGAGGGAGTGCAGTGCAGTGCAATGAGGTGGACAAGGAAGAATTTCAGGCAGGAACAGAGCACGCAGGTCACGGTAAGCAGCTGGGATTTATTCTACATGCTCCGTGAGACTGAGGGACTCTTGGCTTCACCCATGTTCAGGTGGCAAATTGACTCAGTCTAATTGGCTTCCCTTTCACTAAAGCAAAGTTTCTAAAATCAGTAACCTAAAGGAGGCCTTTGGCTCAGTGGAAAACCACAAGATAAGGCTCTCTTTAGAAAGGAACCTGGATGCTCTTGGAGTCTGGCGGGCTTCTCCCTCCCCAGCTTCCGAAAAGGCCAATTCCCCTTACCCACATGCAGAGAGACAAGCGCTGCTTTATCTGAGGGAGAAACTAATGATTCTTTAACCAAATTGTTCTTTGAGGGGTCTATATTGCCTATTAATTAATAGCATATCCCTTGAGCAGTGAGTATACATAATTTGTGATGGTTACTTAGAATAGCAACAGAACGGGGAGAGATCTGAACAAATACAATTGAGTACCCTGAAATAAAATAGCCAATGCTATAAGTCTTCTAATCACATCTCTACATCATTGTCACAGCAGGGGAGCCCTGTATCTGTTTGGGTTCATTTCCTAGCCTCACCCCAATGAACAGTGTTACCAAGTGTTTCCTATTCTGGAACATATGTAGCAGTTTAGGTTTAGATTAAGGCTCAGCCTGTAATCCCACTCCTTTGGGAGGCTGAGGTGAGTGGATTGCCTGAGCCCGCAGGTTTGAGACCCGTCTAGGCAGCAAGACCTCATCTCTACAATAAATCAAAAAATCAGCCGGGCATGGTAGCGCATGCCTGTAATTCCGGCTACTTGGAAGGCTGAGGCGGAAGGATCGCCAGAGCCCAACAGGTCGAGGCTGTGGTGGCCGGGAGCAGCCACTGCACTCCAGTCTGGGTGACAGAGTGAGAATCCAACTCAAAAAAAAAAAAAAGGAATGTGGCTGGGTGTGGTAGCATATACCTGTAATCCCAACTACTTAGGACACCAAGGTGGGGGCATTACTCAAGACCAGGGATTTAAGACCAGCCTGGGTAACAAAGTGAGACCTCATCTCTACAAAAAATACAAAAATTAGTCACACGTGGTGGTGCATGCCTGTAGTCCTAGCTACTTGGGAAGCTGAGGCAAGAGGATCACTTAAGCCCAGAAGTTCAAGATTGCAGTGAGCTATGATTACAACACTGCAATCCAGCCTGCACAATAAAGCAAGACCCTGACTCTCAAAATAAATTTTAAAAAACATAAAAAACAAAAAATGCAAGAAGATGGGAAATAACATTTCTTCAGGTACCTCTATTTTGGTGTGGGCTTTAGAGTCCCCCATAGTCAGAAGGTTTTGTTTTGTTTTGTTTTTGAGTCGTTTTTGAGTCAGTGTCTCGCTCTGTCGCCCAGGCTGGAGTCTGCAGGGCTCACTTCAGCTTTGACCTCTTGGGCTCAGGCATGCCTCCCTCCCCAGCCTCCTGAGTAGCTGGGACTATGGGAATATGCCACCACACCTAATTTTAACTTTTTTTTTTTTTTTGGTAGAGATGAGGTTTTGCTATGTTGCCTGGGTTCAAAAGGTTTCTTTATTTGCATTTTCCTTCAGCTAATTCTATGCTGCTAGTGTTTTGCTGGCAGCTGCCTCTCAAGGCCATCTATAACAAGCTGTGCTTAAATGGCAGATGGAACTGTACTTATAACAGAGGAGGACGAGAATATTTACCTTACAAGAAGATCCAAGTCTTTGTTTCTTTCCTGGCAGAACAGACCCCATATTGACATCCTCCCTCAAGAGCTGGATGACAACAGATGATGACTGGAGGAATTTGGGACACAAAGAGCTTTTTTCTTCATTTGGCTCAGTATTGAAAAGTGAATCAACTTGCCCTTAGCCACAGGGCCAAGAAGGTTGATGGACCATCTTGGTTTTCTTCTGGATTTATCCTTTGCGTTTCACTCACTGACCCAAAAGTTGTTCTTTTTCCTTGGCACGTGTCTCTTGCTAACCATTCTCCAGGTGCTGGCATGCCTCTACCTCTAAGCTAGTGCTTTTCAACCATGTTCATCCAGACATCCCCCTACCCCAGGATGGATTTACAGTTGATCTTCTGCACCTGCCAGTCTGATGAAATTATTTTGCTGCTTGACCCTGTGGAATTTGTATTATGAAATCAGTGGGTATTTTGAATGTGTTTTTCAAACTGTCTGTATCTTCCCAGTCAACCCTATCCCATCCCAACCCACCTTGAGAATCATTTCTCTGTACCAGTGTTCTTGACCTTGCTGTCTGAAAGATCACGTGGGAAATGATCAACAATCCCATGAAAGGTCTAAGGGCCCAAATTAAGAAAGTATATGGAGAGTTAAGCACGGTTAGTCTTCACCAGGGGTCACGTGGGTCAGAGGCACAAGTTCAGAGGCTGCGACCGGGCATGGTGGCTCATGCCTCTAATCCTAGCACTTTAGGAGGCTGAGGTGGGAGGATTGCTTGACCCCAAGCATTCAAGACCAGCCTGGGCAACATAACAAGACCTTATCTCTACAAAAAATAAAAACAAATACAGATGCTGCAGTCATGTGGCAACACTGTTATTTAAGATGGTTCTCCGGGTCATCCTGAACAACCATGTATGAATTTGATGTAGATTACCAGCAAAATTAAGGCATAAGATGCAAAACATTATCATAGGAAACTTGCCTTCCCAAGAGTGTATCTGGGAGAACTCCAAAACTTAAGTATCCCTTATCATGAATTTTGTCTGCTCTAGAATTGTAAAATTGTTAATTTCCTCCTTCGGTCTCTAGTGAGAATGGTTCACTTATTTTCTAATAAAGAAGTACCTATCAATGACTCTGTGATGTTTGTTCAATTATTTTCCACATTCTGAAAACATTAAAGAATGTATTATGTGAAATACACCAGCTTACAGTTTTATTCATGTTTGTCCCTGGCATTACAAATAGGCACATGCTGCTATCACCTACTGGATACGGATGGTTGATATAATTTTTAAATGTCATATTTAAAATGAAAATACCGCTGTAGCTGAATAAGGACTAATATTAAGGATGAATGATAAATATTAACTGAATAATGTTTAGGTTCAATAAGAGTCTTCCATTTTTCATTTCCTACCTAATGCTCTTCTGTTTTTAGCGTCTTTCCCTTGAGAGTCCTAGCCATTCTCTTCAACCAGGATTGCTAGAGATGGTTGTATGGATTACACACTGCACAACACCATGAATGTTACTCCTGGAGCTTATAGCCCCTGATCCACTCTGGACCACTGGCCTGCACCCTCCTCCATACTTCCACGTTCTCGTTCATTGTGCTTGCTCCTTTGTTCTACTTTCAAATTTCTTGTTCTTTAAGGCTCCGTTTACAGACTGTCTCCCTGTACTTTCTCTCTCCTCCACCTGCCTTTTGACTAAAAGTCATTGCTCCCTCTTCTGTAATCCCAAAGCTCCGTGCATATAAGTATTTACAGCTTGTGTCAGACTATTTATAGTTAATTATCTGTACTGGTCTCATGCCCGATTCAGAAATACCCACAGCCAAGAACCAAAGTTAACTGTCTTTGTAAGCCCTGTTTCTGGCCTAGAAGATCTAGTTTTATCAAAACAACACATTCACATGGTTTAAAAAGTCAAAGAGTACTAACAGTCATTCCAAACACAGTCCTGGCCCCACATGTGTCAGTTTTATGAATATTTACACCTATTTTAAAAGACTACAAAATGTGTTCTCCCTAAGAAGTGGGAGCTGAACACTGTATACACCTGGGCACAAGGCTAGGAACCACAATGGGGCAGTCCTAAAGGGAGAGGAAGGGAAGTGGTGATGCACACTTGTAGTCCCAGCTACTCAGGAGGCTGAGAAGGAAGTATAGTCTGAACCCAGAAGACTTGAGGCTGCGATGATCCGTGATTGTCCCATTGCACTCCAGCCTGGACAACAGAATGAGACCCTGACTCAAAATATAAATAAATAAAATAATGAACATGAAAGTAAAACTAGAGGTGTTAGACATGTATCTGCCCCCTACGTTAGGAAAACACTTGTACATATAGTGTCTCTAAGGTACTGATAAAAATACCTTGGAGGCCTATGTGCCCCTCCCAAGAGTATTCCCTTCCTCCCTCCCTCCCTCCTTCCCTCCCTCCTTCTATCCATAGAGGTAACTGCTAGTTCATTTTTGTTGTCATTATCCTGATGCTTCTCTTTCTAGTTTTATTCCCTAAATTATCCCCAAGGAATGCATTTTCTTTTTGAAAAGCAGTAGCAAACATTGAGCCAGCTATGTAAGGAGAGGACAAAACTATCACAATTACATGAACAATCCTAAGAACAGATAAACTAAACACTGACTGAGTTATAGACTGGCTTTGTCATCCCTGGGAGTTTCTCAGAGTCCTCCTGGGGAAGCTGGGGGTGGCCTGAATGAGTCCTTTGGAACACAGAGCACCCCACCATCACAGAGGTTATTGTATGAACCAAGTGCCATGTGATCTGGCATGGGCACTGGGCGTGGGTGGTTCTGCATTTCCGCCTCCAAGTCCAGCGTGGCCCACCTCCAGCCTCCAGGAGTGGGTGAGAGCACACTCATGCGCCTCAGCTGGCCAGGAGGGCAGCGCATAGGACAGAAATGTCAGCACAAGGCAAGCTATGTACAGATAACAAATGACCTGCTTCCAACCCACCTAGGCTTTCTGTCCTCAAGTTAAAACAAAAAGTATACAACAGCAGTGTCCTTGACATGGGAATTGCATTCTCCAGCCTGACTGGTGCCCTCCATTCCTGGGGCAGAACTTTCCATCTGGGATCGCCCTTCACTGTCTGTGGGGGTTCCCTTTGTCTCTGTCCTATGTTGGGTCTCCTGAGACCCACATAGATTAGTTAGCATACAGGCTAAGCTGCTATAACAAAGACACAAAGCATGATAGAAGGTTCTTTCTCTGTCTCCTAACAGCCTAGAGGCAGACAGGTGATATTTGCTCCAAGAGGTCATAATTGACCCAGGAGTCGTGTGCACCACTTCCGCTCACATCTCATGGACCAGAACTTAGTGTCATAGCCCCACTCAGGTGCAGGGGAGCCTCTTGTACAACTAAACCTCTGGGCAACCTATACCCCCACCCCAAAAAAAGCTATGGAAAGAAAATTAGCATATTGTGGTCATTCTCTTTTTTCAGTCTTTTTCTTCTGTGCCCTTTTTTCTTTTCTTTCTTTCTTTCTTTTCTTTTCTTTTTTTTTTTTTTGAGTTGGGGATCTCACTCTGATGCTCAGGCAGGAGTGCAGTGGCATATTCACAGTTCACCACAGCCTCCACCTCCGGGACTCAGGTGATCTTTCCACCTCAGCCTTCCAAGTAGTTGGGGCTACAGGCATGTACACCATGCCTAGTTAATTGTTTTATTTTTTGTAGAGATGAGGTCTCATTATGTTGTCCATGCTGGTCTTGAACTCCTGAACTCAAGTGAACCTCCTGCCTCAACCTCCCAAAGTGCTGAGATTATAGGTGTGAGTCACCATGCCCAGCCAGAAGGGACTATCAGGGAGTACTGAGTACTCAGAGGTCGGCACTAAGGGCTGGCAGAAGAAAGCAACAAGAATAACCAAGCGAAAAATTCAGAGCCAAAGCTCTACTCTGTTTACTAAAAGAAATGACTTCATCTCCTGTGAATGTCTCATTTTAACAACAGACTTCTCTCTGCTTCTTCCAATCTGGCTCCTTGAACAGTCATTCTTCCCAATTCAAGGCTACCTGAGATGGCCCTGAAAGGGAAGGAAGACCCAGGGATGATAACTGGGTCTGAGTGGCCCAGACCACACTGTTTACAACCCTAGTGAGTATTATTAGGCCATTATCTTGATATTCGAATGGAAGAGAAAGCCATGACCCCCAGTTTACTATACCATAATAATTATTCACTGGTTCTGAGAAATATTTTAAAGAATTGGGTGCCTGAGGTATTTTACTTAAAATTCCTTTTTCATATCAATAGCAATCTTTTCCTACTAAATACACCAGATGTTTGAAGTAGCAGAATTTAATCTTGCTCATTAGTGGAAGGAAATTCTGGCCTGGTCCCTTTAAGCACAAATACTATTTAAACAGGTGTCTATATTTATGCCTACTTTTATACCTCCTGTTCCCAGACAGCTCCTCTGGTGAGCTGTGCAGAGCCGAAGGAAAGAGAGAAAAGAAGGGGACGTGGGGAGCCAGTGAAGGTGCACGACGCTGTGTGACAGGGACCCTGGGCATCAGTGCCTTCTGCCCTTCCTGTGCATGTGACTCCTTCCTTCCAGGTGCCAGAGAAGCCTCTGGGGACCTGAGCTGGGTTTGTTCTGAGCAGAGAGCAGAGCAGCTATCTTCTTCCTTTTCTCTCATGTGCCTTGTGAAACTTGGACCACTTCACACATAAAATTACAAGTTGTGTGTAGAGTGAGGGTTTTGCACTTCTTCTCATTCTTCCAAGTCATCCTGGAGAACTGGGCATAGATTTTTTTTTTTTTTTAAGTCAGAGTCTCACTCTGTCACCCAGGCTGGAAGGCAGTAGCATGATCACAGCTCATTGCAGTCTCATCTTCCTGGACTCAGATGTTCCTTCTGCTTTGGCCTCTCGTGTGACTGGGACTACAGGCATGCACCGTCTGTGGTGCCAGCTTTTTTTTTTTTTCTTTCTATTTTTTGTAGAGACTAGGTATCGTCATATTGCCTAGGCTGGTTTTGAATTCCTGGGCTCAAACTATTCTCTTACCTTGGCCTCCCAACGTGGTAGGATTACAAGCATGAACCATAGCACCCCAGCCGGCATGGATGATCTTTAACATAACCTGCCCTGGGTTCTAACCACAGGTGTTAAACGGGGACCAGAGAATCCATTCTGGGAACAGAGGACCAGCCACTCCCAGGAGGGCAGAATTAAAGAATACAGGTGGAGGCCCACACTCTTAACCACCCTGCATTTTATTCAGTCTTTCACCATAAGGGGCCTGTGTTTCCTGACCCAATGGAACCACTGACAGACCTCCCTGGACCTCCATGCACTGAGCCAAACCTCAAGAAATGATTTGATTCTTCTCCAAAGTAGACTGTGTCTTGGCTCAGTATTTCCCAGAGTAGGTTCTTCAGAGCACTGGTTCAAGGGTACATTAATAAATGTTCTATGAAAAAAGGGGTTCCATGGTTCAATGAGTTTGGGAACTGCTAGGTTACATAAAGTACTGACCTGCAGGACTCATGCTCGCTTTGACAGGCCTTGCTTTTTATCCTATAAACTTTAAAAACAGATGTTCTTAGCCTCACCGAACCCCACAAGCACATGAATGTTTGCCTCTTTCCCTTTGCTGAGATATAGGAAGGCAACATGGGATGGATGGTGGGAACTAGACTCCCTGAAGGGCACCTCCAGCATGAAAAGATGAAGGGGGATGGGCCACGTAGTGTTGTGTAGCAGGTATCCTCAGCCAGTCCCTAAATCCAGTCTTACCCGTGGGCCCCTCAGGACATACTGTGCTACCAGCCTCTGTACTGGGTTAGAAGTGAACATTTGATTTGTCGTGGACATCAGCCCAGAGCAAGGCAGCAGCACTAGAAAGTCCCCAGGCTTGACAGATCTACTCAGCAGGCACCACCCACGCAGGCTGGTGAAGACTCTGCCAGCATCCTCAGGCTGACAGCTTGACCTCAGAACTTGCCAGAGCCTGTAGGATGTTGGTGTATAATGTGAATTTCCAAAGCTGTGACAAAGAAACACCTGTCAGAATTTGTTTTAAGGGGCACACGCATTGGAAATGCTGGTTTATTGCCCTCTCACTTCTCTCCCCTTTGCCAATCCTTGCTTACTT